TCCCCTCAGTACCTCTTCCATTTTGTGTCTAGATTCCCTTTTGTTAGCTATGTAATGCTGCGTGACTGGTTTGGTGCTTTCCTTAAATATAATAGCTCCTACTTTTGAGATTTAATTTAATAACTTGGTAAACTGCCTTACTTTGTGCATTGAACGTCACATCTCGCTCAATCACATTTAATAACTTTACAACTAAGTCACACAATGTACATTAACCCTTTGAGGGTTTTCGTCGTACTAGTACGTCTTACGCGTAGGGGTTTTTGACGTACTAGTACTCATAAATTCTAGCGGCCTCAAATCTAGTGGGAGAAAGCTGGTAGGCCTTCATATGAAAGAATGGGTCTATGTAGTCAGTGTGCACAGTCTAAAAAAAATACTGCAGCACACAGTGCATAATGAGAAAAAAAAAACTTTGACCATTTTTTTTTAATAAATCAGCGACTTTGCAGTGTATTTTCGTATGGTATTTATTGTTGTATTCTAGTTTTCTTGGTCTCATTTTATAGAATGGAAGACATATTACAGAAATTGAGATGATTTTGACTGGTTTTACAAAGAAAGGTGCCTTGAAATTGAGCTCAAAGTAGCAGAAATGTTCGATTTTTACCAAACTTCAAAAGTAAACAAATCGTGCCAAGCGTGCAATACACGTCAACTGGTGAGTCTAATATTCTTTCACAAGTGCACCAATAATATTTATACCATTTTTTACACTAATGCAGTAGTCTGCATAACAGTAAATCTTATATTTTTTGTGAAAATAAAAATTCAAAGTGGAAAGCAAAAGAATATAAGAGGGGCCTTGAGACGTGACTAATGACTAGAGGAAATGTCATTTTAGTGCCAGGAATGTCTTTCTTGTTTATTCTGGACCCTATTCGGAAATTGGCATCTTTTGAAATTTGTGTGAAATTGGCAAAATTGCTAAATTCTGACCACTGTACTGGATAGTTGAATTTCATAAATGAGTGGTTTCTTGCACCCATTCGATAGAAAAAATGGAGTTCTAGCGAAATATTCATGTTTTTTGTCGACTAGTACAGTGAAATTGGCCGAAAATGGGGCTCAAAGTGGGCAAAATCGCCGATGCGTAAACATCGCCGAGACCGCTAACTTTGCGAGAGCATAATTCCGTAAGTTTTCTATCAAATTTCAAACTTTTGGTGTCTTTATGATCGGGAAAAGATTCTCTATCTTTTCATAAGAGAAAATAATTTTTTTTTTTTTTTAAATTTGGCCGACCCTGAGAACGAGTTTCGGAGAGGGCCTGTCGACCCTCAAAGGGTTAAAGCTAGGCTGGCTAAGCTTATACTGTACTTTTGAACTATCAAAATACTGTTCATCTACATCAGTCCACTCTAAATCTAGATAATAGTGGTTTCGTAGATATTTTGCAATATTTTTTTCAGGACATTAACCCTTAAACTGTCCAAACGTAGATCTACATTTGCGTGCGTAGTGCTCTGAACGTAGATCTACGTTTTTTTTTACATGCTTTCATATGGAGAAAATAAAGGTCGGAGCACTATGCACGTGAACGTAGATCTACGTTTGGACAGTTTAAGGGTTAACAGTATAATAACATAAAGCCAGCATTCCTTCAGAATGCAGGCACTGTACTTTCCACCTTCAGTACTGAAGTCCACCTAACAAGTTTCCTTGAATCCTTTCATAAATGTTACCTTGCTCACTTTTCAACAGAACATCAAGACATAAAATCCACACATCTCCATTCACTCAGATCTAACATACACCTGCAAATGCACACACGCATGCTTGCTGGATGCTCAAGCCCCTAGCACTCAAAACCTCCTTTACCTTCTCCTTCCAACCTTCCTAAGTTGATCCCTACCCCACCATCCTTCCACTCTACATGTATATATATGATTTAACATTCTCTCACATAGCTAAAAGTATTTTTTGCACCTTAAGTCTTTCTCACACTAACCATTTTCCTAGGCTTGGCACATGTAGTAAATTGAAAAATAACCATAGTACAGTAGACCCTCAGTTATTGTAATTAATCCATTCCAGAGACTGTGACTGAAACCGAATGTGACGTTTTCTGAATTCATTTTCCACATAAGGAATAATGTACGTAAATCCAATTAATCCATTCCAGACACCCAAAAGTATTAAAAAATATTTTTTTTATATGAAATATACATTTACCTACACAGAAAACAATGAGACATGAAGAATAAAACAATAACAACATGACACTTACCTTTATTGAAGACTCTTCTTAGTGTATTGAAGACAGGAGAAGGGGAGAGGATGGAGAAATTACTGTTTGGAAGGGAAACCCCTTCCATAAAGACTTCAGGTACCAAGTCCTTTTCTGGGGTTATTTCCCTCGTTTGTTTTTTAAAACCACTAGGACTAGCTTGAGAGTCACTGGATCCCTGTCGCTCAAAAAAGTGTTCTAGAGAGGTCTGTTTCTGGCATATGTTAGGAATTGTGGCAGCGGCAGGGAGTGTGTTTGGAGTCAGGACAAGAAAGTCCTACAATATGACACTAATATCAACTCTACGGCTTGTTTATCTAGCACAGTTCATCTAGTATGACATAATAAACAATATTAATAACAGAAACATGATACAGTGGAACCTCGGTTATTGGCTATAATCTGTTCCAGAAGCTCGGCTAAAATCAAAATGGCTGGAAACCGAAATAATATTTCCCATGAGAATTAATGGAAATACAATTAATCCATTCCAGACAAAAATATTCACAAAAAAAAAAAAATTATTTTTTTAACAATTATATATACGTATAAGTATTACATACCTTTACTGAAGACTAATGCTGGCTTCTGGAAGATAGGGAGGAGGAAAGAGGGAGGAGTTAGTGTTTGGAAGGGGAATTCCCCCCATAAAGACTTCAGGTACCAAGTCCTTATCCAGGGTTACCTCCCTTCTTTGTCTTTTAATGCCACTAGGACCAGCTTGAGAGTCACTGGACCCCTGTCGCACAGCAAATCTGTCCATAGAGGTCTGTTTCTTGCGTCTTTAAGATTTCCCTGAAGCAGGACAGGGTATTGTCACTGAATATGTTGCAGATATGGCTTGTTTCAGCTTGGTCAGGGTGATATTTCTTGACAGAAGCTTGCACCCTAGTCCACATTGCACACATCTCTTTAATCTCTGAAGAAGGCACCTTCTTCACTCCCTCTTCCTCCTCCTCTGAAGCAAGTTCCTCAGCTGTGGTCTGTTGCTGTTACAGATGAAGCTCTTGCAGCTCTTCAGTGGTTAACTCTTCCCTGTTGTCCTCCACCAACTCTTCCACATCCTGGCCACTCACCTCCTACCCCAGGGACTTCCCCAGTGCCACAGTAGAGTCCACAGGGTCAGGGTCACCCTCAAATCCTTCAAAAGCCCTCTCTTGGACACAACCTGGCCACAATTTTCTCTAAGCAGAGTTCAGTCCTGGAAGTCACTCCCTCCCAAGCCTTACCTGTAAGGCTTATGCAGTGGAGAATAGTGAAGTGATTCCTCCAGAACTCTCTTAGGATCAACTGAGTGTCTTGAGGTCATTTCAAAGCACTTTTGAAACATTGCTTTTGTGTAGTTTTCTGAGGTTAGAAATGACCTATTGGTCCATGGGCTGGAGGAGAGGAGTAGTGTTAGGAGGCAAGAACTTCACTGTGATGAAACTGAAGTCTCCAAACAATTGGTCTTCCAAGTCTGCAGGATGTGCAGGAGCATTGTCCAGTACCAGGAGGCACTCGAGTGGCAATTTCTTTTCCAGGAGGTAATTTTTCACACTTGGGCAAAACACATCATTAATCCACTCTTTGAAGATTTGCCTTGTGACCCATGCCTTATGATTAGCTTTACACATCACACACAATCTATTCTTGATGACATTGCTTTTCTTGAACACTAAGGAATTTTCTGAGTGATGCACCAGTAAAGGCTTCATTTTAAAATTCCCACTAGCATTACCACACAACAAAAGAGTAAGCCTGTCTTTCTTAGGCTTGTGTCCTGACAGTGCCTTTTCCTCCTGCATGATGTAGGTCCTGTTTGGCATTTTGGCATTATTATTCTCCCTTAATAACTCTAACAACATTGGAGGAGTCAGCTTCATGCTGTCCTTTTTCTATCGATTAATCGCTTAACTTACTTGCTACTGTTAATGCTACACTTTATCGCTGGCTGACGCTATAGCCTTTATCGACTCATGCTGCTTTAGTATCGTACATATCACAGAATCACTGAAGAAGGCACATTCTCCCCTTTCTCTCAGCCCTTTACCAAAGGGCTGGCTGACATTAGGAACTTCCTAGAGGCCCATGGTGGCTTATTTAGCAGTTGCAAGCAATAAAAAGAATGGAATAATACGAAATGTATCATATGAACATGCTGGATAGTGCTCACTGGCTGATAAACAATGGCTCACTGAGTGTCGAGCCGCTGTTGCCATGCCAACGCGTTCGGGATGAATGACTATTACTGAGCTCAGTGATGATCACCGAGCCAATATTTTGCCGAAAGAACATTACGATTTCCGAATATTATGAAATCTGATGACTACGATATCCGGGGGTCCACTGCATGTTATTCAAATTGTGCTCACTAGCTTTTCCAACTGAGATCTCTTTTAATTCTGGCCATTCTTATAAATGTCAGTATTAACCAGAATAGTGATATATTATAGAGGTATGGACTCTGAAATGCAGAAAGGACCCAAATCTAAATTAAAAAAATTAATGCGCAAACAAAAAATGCTATATTACGTATTTGCAAATTCGCAGGGCCTCTAGGAACATATCCTTATGTATTTGAGGGGCTGATTGTTTAAGTTGGACATGTCAGATATCCACTCTATCCAGAATTGATTGTATAGAGAATTAAGCTAATTTTCTTGAGAATTTGAATGGTTTTTGCTTTCCTATAGTATTGAATCAGTATTGGCCTATTTTAAATAATATAATGTGAGCATATGCCTTATTTTGTAAATGATTAATGGACAACTAATTAGTATATTTTCAGATCTTGAACTACTTCGACATCTTCTTCACATCAGTGTTCACGGTTGAAATCTTCTTGAAAGTTGTGTCCTATGGCTTCATCTTGCACAAAGGAGCCTTTCTTCGTTCTGCATTCAATGGCTTGGATCTCTTGGTTGTGGCTGTCTCTCTCATCTCATTTTCTTTCAAGTGAGTTAATTTAAAAACAATTTTTCCTGGCAGTTCACTGTGTGAATGTGTTGATGTATGTTAAATGTTACTCATGTTCTTGTAATGTTGAATGATTCTGTTTGTTCGAATATTTTGTGTGTTTGTACTTCATATATATATTTATTCCTACTTTTAAATATCGCTGACTCTCTTCATGTCCCTTCATTATTATTTTTCTTATGAGAAAGTAAATAAATATGACCTAATTTTATCTATATATACAAGAAATTCAGGGTTACTGTTTTTATGTGTCAGTGGTTTAATATGTACAGGTGAACAACATCTACAAGTTATTACAGTATTACATTAAAATTGCCAAATGGAAATGTGTGAAGATTTATATTATGTGTATTTCTGTGATCTCATAATTGTGTGCCTTTTAATGGTAGTTATATTCATGGCTTTCTTATCTCCACTTGTCCTCATTAAAGCATCTTCTACTCATTGAGTACCGGTAAGGTGCTATGTATCCCTTCTGGGTTTTGCAATTCCCTTCAAGTATTTTATTGATAATAAAAATAATTAAAATAATAATAATCATAATAATAATAGTAATAATTATTATTAGTAGTAGTACTCATTCAGCAGTACAGTTTTGTATTTGTCTATAGTCACTCCCAAAGTCTGTGTGTTTTCTCTGCCCCACATGTATGAGGAAATATTATGATAATTACATCATCACTGGGATGGGATGTATTTCAGTGCCAGGAATAAAAATGCCTTTAATGTATTGTTTCATTACAAAAAATGAGGGAAAGGGAAATAACTAAGGGTAATAGTTGTAAAGGAAAAAATACAGAATGTTTTTATGCAATGGTCAAGCCAGAATGTTACATATTAACACATCTCAAACTTTAATGAGCTGGGAAAAGGAGACTTTAATACATATTGAAAAAATAACTAAAATATAGCTAAAACCTTTGCATTTCAAAAAGATAACCACTTAAAAATTACTCCTTAACTGGAAAACTAAGTAATTAAGTATTCTCCAAAAGGGAAAATACCTATTCTTAATGTTTGGCATTGTTAATACTTCAAAAGATTGGCCATGTCTTTAGGTGCAGTATTATGATGATGTTTGACGTGAACTTAGAGCATTATCAGAGAGTTTGGAGGTCGTCATAAGCTAAGACAAAGAATAATGTACAAAATATTTAATATCAGATGAAGAGTTTCATCTGTGTACTTTACTGTTTGTCTTGTATAATACATTAGATATACAGTAATTCAGTAAACATTTTTTAAATTATGTATAAATAAATTCTAAACTTAAAGCACTAATAACCTTTACCCCTCTAGGAAAATTTATGTTTATTTACAAGAAGTATAGCTCAAGTCAAACCTTACAATGAGCAGTGGAGTCACCAGCTGCAAGGGTAGTAGAGTACTGGGTATTCATGAATAAAATATGAGAAGAGAATGGAAACAAAATTTACCAGCATGTTACTTTTGCTTCTTCATGATGTTTCAACTTAAAATTGTTTGTGAATCTGAAATAGAGTAAATTGAGTAGTAAACAAAGTCTTTTCTGTATGAATATTTCTGTGTTCAGGTTTCAGTGAATCATGTATGAATAATAATCTCTTCATAATTATTTTCACTTTCCAATATTATGGACTTCCTTGCCACTTTTATACTCAGCTATTCCTTTCTGCCTTCTGTTGTCTCTTGTAAATGCCTTTTTCTTTTGTTGTTGTTGGGTTCATGCTGGCTGCCAGCACCAGTCTGTGATTTTGTCAGAAACATAAGTACCTTTTCACTTTTGTTCCCTAATTATACGAATTTCTGGTTGAAAATGAGAATTTATATATGTAATACAGGCTTTTACTTAGGGTCCTTCAGACTGAAGGACAATGATTGTCATATATATTTCATGGCTACATAGCTCTTGTCACTTGGGAGGGACCTGTTAACTACACAACTGATGTAGGAAAGATTCAAAACTGATTTGAATCTAATGGTAAGAGGAGTGATTGTTAGATGCTTGGAAAGTTCTTGGTAGTTCATTCACTGATTTCTTATAATGGTTTATGAACTATTGTAAACTACATCTGAATTCGTATCAAGTAAAAGAATGTAAATGTCCTTGGCATACCTCAGAAGGATTTTTAACAATTAATTATCTCTTGGTTCAATTTAGAGAAAGAAGATATTCATTAATGAATAACTACTCTGTTAACTCTAATCTTTCACATGCCCTCTTCCCTTTACATAGCCAAGTTCGGAGTCAGAAAGGAAGAGGTATCCCTTGACAACATTAAGGATTTATTGGATTTATTTGATCAAATTCCATGTGGTTTGGTTGTGTCTGGTTCTTTCACTTTTAGGCATATCTTTTAAAAGATCCACAATTTGTACTTAGGCCTGATGAACATTAAAAATAAAGTTGATACGTTTCTGAATTCACAAGACCCACCGATCATGAAACTCCTAAAGCAAATACAGCCTCTCCTCACTTAGCAATGTACAATGGGCCCCCGGATTACGTTGTCATTGGAATTCGTAATATTCGGAATAAGTAACACTTTTTTCGTCAAAATATTGGCTCGGTGATCGTCATTGAATTTGGTATTAATCATTCATCTCAAACATGTCCGCGCTGCCCGAGCGGTCCGACACACCATTTACAGCCAGTGTGCCATTGTTTATCAGCCAGTGAGGATGATCCCACACGTTCATACAATATATTTTGTATTATTCCATTCTTTTTAGTGCTTGCAACTGCTAAATAAGCCACCATGGGCCCAAAGAAAGCTTTTAATGCTGGCCCTTTGGTAAAGAGGGTGAGAAACACTATAGAATTTAAGAAAGAAATAATTGCAAAATATGAAAGTGGAGTACATGTCGCAGAGCTGGCCAGGTTAAATAACAAAAAGGCACAATACCGTGACTGGAACGATACACAAATAACCCGCACATAAAAGAGAGAAGCTTACGACGACGTTTCGGTCCGACTTGGACCATTGACAAAGTGACTTTGTCAATGGTCCAAGTCGGACCGAAATGTCGTCGTAAGCTTCTCTCTTTTATGTGCGGGTTATTTGTGTACTGGCCAGGTTGTATAGCAAATCCCATACAACCATCGCTTCTATTGTGGCCAAGAGAAAGGAAATCGAGGAAGCTGTTGTTGCGGAAGATGCAAATATGCTTACAAAACAGAGATCGCAATCACTGGAAGATGTGGAGACTTTGTTATTGGTGTGGATCAACGAGAAACAATTATCAGGAGCTAATGTTGTGCAGTCAAAAATTTGTGAAAAGGCAAGGCAGTTGCATGATGATCTAAAGAAAATGCCTGGAACTAGTGCTGATATTGGTGAATTTAAGGCCAGCAAAGGCTGGTTTGAGAGATTTAAGAATCATAGTGGCATACAGAGTGTGATAAGGCATGGTGAGGCTGCCAGTTCTGACAAAAAAGCAGCTGAAAAATATGTTCAGGAATTCAAGGGGTACATAGAGGCTGAAAAATTCAAACCCCAACAAATGTTCAATTGTGACAAAACAGGCCTCTTTTGGAAGAAAATGCCAAAGGGGACTTACATTACTCAGGAGAAAAAGGCACTCCCAGGACACAAGCCTATGAAAGACAGGCTAACTCATGTTTTGTAGTAATGCTAGTGGGGATTTCAAAGTGAAGCCTTTACTGGTGTATTACTGAAAATCTCAGAGTGTTCGAGAAAAACTGTCACCAAGAGTAAATTGTGTGTGATGTGGAAAGCAAACAGTAAGGCATGGGTCACTAAGGACATTTTCCTTGATTGGTTTAATGACATGTTTGGCCCCAGTGTGACGAAATACCTCGTGGAAAATAAATTGGAGCTCGTGGGCCTCCTGGTAAAGGACAGTGCTCCTGCTCATCCTCCAGACTTGGAAGAGCAGATGGTGCAGGAATTTTGTATCATCAAAGTGAAGTTCTTGCCCCCTAATACTACTCCTCTCATCCAGCCCATGGACCAGCAGATCATTTTAAATTTCAAAAAACTGTACACCAAAGCAGTGTTTCAAAAGTGCTTTGAGTGACCTCAGACACCGAATTGACCCTAAGAGAGTTCTGGAAAGATCACTTCAATATCTTCCATTGCATAAACCTTATAGCTTGGGAGGGAGTGACTTTCAGGACTTTGAACTCTGCTTGGAGAAAGTTGTGGCGACAATTTGTACAAGAGAGGGATTTTAAAGGGCTTGGGGCTGACCCTGAGGAGCCTTTGCCAGTTGTGGAAAGTATTGTGGCATTGGGGAATTCCATGGGTTGGATGTGAGTTTTGAGGATGTGGAAGAATTGGTGGAGGACCACAATGAAGAGCTAACCACTACAGAGCTGCAAGAGCTTCATCTGCAACAGCAACAGATCACAGCTCAGGAAATTGCTTCAGAGGAGGAGGAAGAGACATGGAGGAAGGTGCCTTCTTCAAATTTAAGGAGAGTTTTACAATGTGGACAGAGAAAGGCGCAAACATTTATGGATGAACATCACCCTGACAAAGCTGTTGCAGGCCGTGTTGGCAACATGTACAGTGACAATGTTGTGTCCCATTTTAGGGAAGTTTTAAAGAAACTCCAGATACAGACCCCTCTGGAACATTTTTTTGAGTGACCGGGGTCTAGTGACTCTCAAGCTGGTCCAAGTAGCATTAAAAAACAAAGAAGGGAAGTAACCCTGGAAAAGGACTGGGTACCTGAAGTCTCTATGAAAGGGGATTCCCCTTCCAAACAATAGTACACCTCCATCTTCTCCCCTCCTTCCATCTCATCACTCATCAGTAAGTCTTCAATAAAGGTAAGTGTCATTTTAGTATTGTTTTATTCTGCAAATATCATTGTTTTCTGTGTAGGGAAATGTATATTTCATGTAAATTTTTATTTTTTTAATACTTTTGGGTGTCAGGAAAGGATTAATTGGATTTCTATTATTTCTTTTGGGGAAAATTAATTCGGAATTCGTCAGATTCGGGTTTAGTCAGTCTCTCTGGAATGGATTA